CGAAAATATAGTGGCGTACTTACATGTATGTCACACTCTTTATCGTAATGTGCTACATATATTTATTTACTGTATTAATTTATAACTTTTGCGTATTTTTCTTTTTGATAGACTTTTAATTTAAATATATGTATATTATATTTTGCTTCAAATATCACTAAAATAAGTATTTTGAGAAAAAGCAAATTTTTACTACAAAAATCTTAAGCGTTTACGATGTGAAAGATGTTTCAATTTCGCTTTTAATGATCACTATCTTAAAGGGACGAACTAGCTTTTAGCTTGCTGTTAAATACGAATATGAAGTGCTACTTTTTACGTAAATACGCTAAAATATTTTTAAAAATACTAATTTCAATAAATATAGAAATAAAATTTTAGATTTAGTAATTTAATCACTCGAAATTCAGTGGTAATTATTAGTCCTATTCTACCTTATAATACTGCTAATTAAAATCCTTAAAGTATTGCTTGTTACTATTTTTATTTGTACTTCGGTCAAATGTCCGTCGGCCACTAGTATCGTTAGCCACTATTCTCAACATCCATGTGGTGTTTAGTTTAAAGCTGATGCCGTCTACTTTTTCTCGTTTGGTGATCCTTTTGCTTAAGGTTGTGATCTTTATTTTCCCAGCTTTCAATGAAGAGTTGGTGGTCTTCAAAAATTATTCTGACATTCGTTTTTCAAAATTGCTATCCTGGCTATGACTCTAAACTACATCCAGCAGCAAGGCTCTTGATCGGGATTTTGAAGAACGTGGAACCACCTCTTAATACACCCCCCCGCAGATCCACCATGTTAGGCTCCAAGCTATGAGGAAAATAGTTATCCCCCTTCTCTGACTGGGGGTCAAAACGTTATGGAAGTATAATTTGTAGAAGTGCAAGCAATGCATTTTCATAGTAAAGGAATTACCAGCGATACGCTTTTTAAAAAAAAAAAAAAAAAAAAAAAACTCTTATGCACTCAAAACCTTCATTTCGGTATTAAATGGCTCGTAAGGAGTTGAGATGCCGTTAAACAAAATTATTGCTTCTAATTCTAGGTTCAATATAAGTAAAAAGTGTCGGTTCAAACTGATGCCAAGATATGGGTTAATAATTCTTGCATGTTTTCTTGCAGCCTAATCTACTGTTCAGATTCTTTACCGTTTTAATCTTTTATAAATGTCTTTGTCGCATTCCTGAAACTAGTTATCCGTTTTTACAGCCCATATCACTTTAAATATTTAAACTACCATGTTACTATCGAATAAATCGCTCGCATCGCAAAAGTTTCATAAATATTCATTAAATTTTAAAGGCTGGGGGGTCACTTTTAAATATAAATTCATTATAAATTGATCCTCCCCTCCCTGCACAAGCAAGAAATGTTTATACCACATGGCAATTTTTTTTTTTTTTTTTTTTTTTTTTTTTTGTTGTAAATTCCAAATAGAAAAGTAAACATTAAGGGTATATTGTCCTTTTTTCTTTATTGCGTTAAAATAAGTTCTAAAAAAAAGCTTTGTCGGAGTTTTGCTAAAAACTCCCCACTCCCACAAAGTTAGTTTAAAACGCTTTATCTTGCGACAAGCAGTGGGACCATAAATTAGTACTGGAAATTTGAGCATAAATATAAAACCTATTTTTGGATTTTCTTGTTAAAAAAAAAAAAAAAAATTCAGATTTTAATAAATTTCGCTTGTTCAAAAGTAATTTTTCTCTTTGCCAAACACCAACTCCTCTCGTTACAAAAAAAAATATACTCTGAATCTTAAAATAATGCAATGAAACTAAAATAGCATTTAATTAGAAAAATGTCCTCTTCCCTGTACCGCCCCAGCAAGTATCTGACCTCGCACCATTTTCTGCCTTTACAAGAGCCAGATCAGCCCTAAAAATGGAGTACTGCTGTTGTATTTGGTCAGGAGCTGCCCAGTCCTCACTTTAGTTTATATAGTACAAAAACTGTCTTGGGTAAGACGATAAACTACATCCAATAGCAAGGCCTCTGATCAGCCGGTGTATTCAGGTCCACCCTGACCATGGGTAGTAACACCTGTTCGGGTCCTAGCTATGGAGCAAATAGTTAACCTCTAAACTGGGGTCAAAACATGAAAGTGTAAAATAGGTCTTAATACTAGAAATAGGTTTTTAAAAACAAAAATAATTACCAGCAATATATTTTGAAAATAAAAATATTACCAGTAATAAAGATCTTGTCGGCATTAAATAACCCATTAACGTTGATATACCGTAAAACAAAACTAACCAAACTGTGCAAAAAGCCTTTTCATTGCTTTTATGAATTAGATAATATGGGCCCTTTCAATCTCGCTATTGGATGGTTAGTGAATTCTTAAAAGCATGGTGTCAATTGTTCATAAATTTTAATATTTTCTAAAGTATTAAAATTCTGCATTAATACGTAGCGGTTTGGTGATGAATTAAAACGTTTGTGTTTGTCTGTCCTGCTTCTCAAAGCTTGGTACGACTTTCAAGCATTTTCAAAGGGTATCCCACGCTGGATTCCCCTCGACTGTTACCGTAATTCCCCACGTATAACACGTCTTCATCCATAAGACGAACCCCTAAAATTGTGCTGTAAGTGTGGCGAAAGGCTTCTACTCACGCAAAATACGCACACCTTGTTTGGTAATCAAACCCTATAAACTGTACCTATCCAGTTTCATTACAGTCAGCGTTTCCTACTCTTATAAAAAATGGTTTTAAACTTAGAATATTCTAAGTTTTATAATAATTCTTATTTTATATTGTATGTATTGTTAGGTACATGTGATTGTATTTGACATCCTTATGGGATCGCAATCGCCGAATGTTAGCGTCAAATTGTCGTACGTTTGTGATGAGTAGTCATTTCCCAATTGAAATCAATCGACAAAACCGCAATTTTTTTTTTTTTTTTTTTAGAAGAAGAAAAATGCGTACTATACATGGGGTATTTACGATAAATCATTTCGCACTTAATGATATTGACAATGACTTAAAAGTAATTTATCGTCGCTTTTAGACTAAGAATATTTTTTTTTCTTTAGAAGCAAGTCGTCTTACGATTCTTCCCACAAAGTGAAATGCATTTTGGGGAAACACATCGCCGGCCGAAGTCCGATCAGCGTCTACCAATGCAAACTGCCAGGCAACAATCAGCCGCTTGTAGCCAAAGTCGTTGTTGTCGGTCAAGACGAAGCCAAAGATTCTCTGCAAGAGGCCAACCTTTTAGCCAGACTCGGCCATCCGTACTTGGTTAAATACGTAGACAGCTATTTGGACGGCAGTAAGTACTTTCGTTCCGCTTCTATTCTTTCCCTTCTATATGGTTTGGTATAGTGTAATGGCGAGACGGAACTGTTAGTGTTCCAGTTGGTTGAAATTTATAAAATCTTTTAAAATCACTTACATTGTTCTGTCAGCATCTTTGTCACGTTCACGACGCTTCGGCCGTTGTATTCTCCGGCCTTCAGGTGATTGGTATTTCGAACTCTGTTCTTTATTTCGAACTTTTTTTCATCCACCGGGGTAAAATGTTCTAGTTTCACGTGCCATGCTCGTTATCCCCCTTCAACTCTACTCGTCCAAGTTTGTTTTTTATTGTGTTTTTTTTTTTTTTTTGTTTTGTGTTGTAGCTGCCGTAGCCAGGTATTGAACTAGCAACTGTTTGGTAGTCACTGGATCTAACCAACGCTTTTATCCATTGGGTCATGTGGATAAAAGGCCTGGCTGGATCCAGGCACATGACCCAAAGATTTGCCAGTTCAATACCTGGCTACTGTAGTCGTTTAACAAAAAAAAAACTTGCAGTGTTTCTCAACATTTTTATACTTCAAGATGCAGTAAAGACATTTCATTAAATATTTAACAGATAAAAAAAAATAGTTAAATATTCTTCTTGCTGAAAACTCTTTTACTCTTGTGGTAGTGGAAACTTCAGGGGTTATTGTCCCTCGTTCGATGGCGTTCCTTTGGAGAAATGGCGCGATTGCGTCTCGATTAAGGGACAAGCCTCGCGAAACGAGTGGCTCTTGCAGCGTCTCACACTGGCCATGGTTCGAGATAATGCTTTCTCCATCTTTGTGGCTGACAGAGGATAGAAAAATTTTTTTTATAGTTACGTTGTTCTGGAATTGTCATCATTGGTCAACTGAACTTTTCTTTCAATAAATTTATTCATTATATATTTATGTATGTGTGAAGACTTTTTTAAATGATCGACCTCTATATTATGCTTAGAGGAAAGCTTTCTCCTTATTACTGATTAAGGAATTTAACATCAGTTCAAAATGACACTTGACTTAAACATGGAAGCCATGTGCTTGGTGTCTCCCAGCTATTTAAAAATATTTACAAATTACTCTTCTATTAAAATGGTGTACACTTGACTAGCCTTTCAGGGCGCACAGATTGAAAAACTCTAGGCTATGTAGTAGTGTACTGAACAAAAAAGGTTAAATTCGAAAATTGGCTTTCTTTACCTCGGTCTGCCGAATGTTAAAAATTGTCGATCGGAGCAACCCAATTGAAGCGAAACTCTCGTTTATACACAACTGATTAGACAACTGACGGTCTCTCCCGGCAATCGATGGTACTACGGAACGTAAACTGTTATAACCGATTTCTTGTCAGACTCTAGGGGAAGAAATCTAGTCGGTCGACGCCTTAATTAGATCGCAGTGTGAAGGCGGCTCTACCAAGTACGACACCCGAGTCTTAAGTCATCACCGAGCGGTCTCGTCTCGCGCTCCCGCTTGCGAAATAAAGATTTCTAGCTTGTTTTCCAGTAGTTCTCGAAGAACTCATCCGATCCGGTATGCCATAACGAACAATGCATACTGATTGTATTTTTATTTTGAGATTTTTATACCCAGTCGTAAGTCCGAGGTCGAGGAACAGAAAGTTGTTAAATGAGGAGTGTTATATAACTTTACCTTAATATTGTGTGTTGTAACCGATCGAAGTTGTAACCTTTTTCTTTTTCTTTGACAGAGAAACTGTACCTAATAATGGAATATTGCGAGGGTGGCGATCTCAGAAAGGTCATCAATTACCAGCGAGGCAAGCCGGAAAATCTCTTTGGCACAGATATCGTCCTTGGTTGGTTCACACAGCTGTGCCTTGCTCTTCAGTACATCCACAAACAGAATATTCTTCACAGGGACGTGACGCCAAGCAATGTGTTTCTGTCGGCCGATGGAACAGTGAAACTAGGCGATTTTGGCTTAGCTAAAATTATGCAGTATCAATCGCAAATGAGGACATCTGGTGGCGATAACAGCGTCCTTTACCAACCCCCCGAGATGACTTTGAGTGGGCAGCCGGCGTCGACAAAATGCGATATGTTCGCCGTAGGCTGTGTTCTCTACGAACTTTGTACAGGTTCTCAGCCGTTCGAATCGCCTTCTTTGAGCCAGTCTCTGAAAAACGCCTGCCGTAGCGTCTACAAGAGCCTGCCGTCTTGGCACGGCACCGAGCTTCGATCTCTGGTGGACAGGCTTCTGTCGGCTAACCCTTACGAGCGTCCTTCCGCCGACGATGTCTTACGAGAAACCTTCCTAAAACGCTTCGTGACTCACTTTTCGCCGAGGGATACCGGTAGTTCAATGTCCATGCGAGACGAAGTGACGTCATCGGGTCAGACTGTGACAGAAGTACTCCAGAGTATTCGTGTGGCCATGTCCGGGTCCGGGAACGATTTCTATCCTGAATCTGAGATTGGAGCCCCACCGAACACTCCGACAATCCCTATGGAAAGATCCTTTCCGGATATCTCAAAGATGTTTTCTTCCGCTGTCACCGGAAAGCGCGATCCTGCATCTTGTCAGTGGTTCGACACTGGCCGCAACTCTTCGAGACAAAATCCGAAAGAAAGATATCTATACCGTACAGATAACTCTAATAGAATCACTAACGTTCGATCGAGTGCTACTTCGTCCGGTTTATCTCCGAGAGTCTGTAATAAATGTGAGGTCTCCGAAAAAAGCCCCCTCCAGAAAGTGACAGCAGAAGTGAAGTCGATGATTTCGAATTTGAGAAAGCTGGACAGTTCCCAAAATGGTCAGGAACGCTTTGCTTCGACGCTATAGATTGTTACTGTTATGTTATAAATGTATGTAATTGGCCCGTAAAACAAAACTACACAAACCGTCAGTTGATAACTTATTTGCTCTCTAATAGAATTCATGAAAATATATTCGAATTTTTACCCGTTCGAAGGCTTAATAAATTGTATCCAATTTCGTGCATTGGTTCTCAAAATGTTTGTTTGAAACCTGTTAATTTCAGGTTGTATATCCAACTGCGCTTAATGTTGCTTTTCTAGGACTGCTTTTTATATTTTATCATGTAATAAAGTTGTGTCAAAATAAAGTACATTACCCTCTGACTCGCTTAAAAAAAAAAAAAATCCGATTTATTTCAATATTGATTTATAGCTAAACAACTGGTATCCGTTAACTTTTTATATATATAATATATATATATATATATATATATATATATATATAATATATATATATATATCTAAAATATATCTTCATTTTAAAACCTCCCTTTCAGTCTTCAATATATCTTCAAAGAATATATATATATCCTAATTCTTTATTACAGTATTTATAGGGTCATCTTTATTTTACTTGCTAAAAGCTAGATTAAAAACAAAAAAAGTTGATCTGTAGTAATTATGAACTCCTTTATATCAACCTTTTCTTTTTAAAACTTCCCAGATAGTGTTTTCAATGGGGCCTTATTTTGCTTTACTCTCAATTAAACTGCAAATTGAAATTCAAAGAATTATTCAAAAGATTGGTCTGTTTGTTATTCTAATATTTCTGAAAATCTATTTTGCGAAGCATTTCTGTATTTGTCCATCGCAGAAACTTAAAGTAGTCTTAAAGACTTTGATACTTTAATTTCGCCCTTCAGGTCAAGTAATAATTTCGCACGAACCTTTAACCATCTTAGAATAGATTCAGTCTTATAAAAAGAACTGATTCCGTCTTTTCAAATCGCGAAATGGAAGTTGTTGTCTTGGCCAGCAACTCTTCTACATTTTTTTTTTTTTTTTTTTTTTTTCGCGACACCCCAGGGCTCTATCCCTGGTCCTACTGATTCTTAATTTTCATTAACTACCTTCGTCAGTGGCACCATCTGACAACTTGGCATCTGTGCCGATGGCACAATCATATCAATAAGGTCAAATTGGCGGCTGACCTCAAAAATGGTCTGCTGTGAACTAGGGCAAAGGAAGGATTATTCATTTTAACGCCTTCAAAATAAAACTGCTCTCTATTAATCAGCTGGGATTTCTTTCAGCCTTCCACCAGAATGGCTAATATTAACCTCCAGGAGAATTTGTTGCTACTTCTCGGGCAAACATTATCAGCTGACATGAAATTGAAAGACTCTATTGAATTCATTGCTAGGTCAGCTACTAAGAAAGTTGGTTCACTCTGTTGGGCAAGATAGATTCTGGAGAGAAAAAAATTCTTATATTCTATAAGTCTACCATTCATTCATGCTTAGAATATTGCTGCCATATATATTGTGTTTGGGAACTGAAGTCAAATCAGAAAAGTAAATTGATGAAAAAAAAATATCAAACAGAATGAACAGTTTGGTTAGAGAAAAGGTCAGTTTGTACTTTTCTTTTTTATTATATACTGAATTCTTCAACAAGGGAGACAATTTTAAATCTTGAAAGATTATTATAAATATTATAAACTTTAAATTGTTCTCTGCTGCTATGAAGTTGAAAGACTATTGAATCCATTGCTAGGTCAGCTGCTAAGAAAGTTGGTTCACTGTCGAAAGGTAGGAGAAAGTGCCATAAAAAGATTTGCAGGTCGAAACTCGGAAAATGTTTTGAGTAGGAAAATAAATAAATAAAAATTTAGCTTGTAATAAGTTCGTTATTCTAAATTTTCAGTTTTTCTCAATGTAAAAAAATTTAAAAAATTATACTTGTAAGGGCGCCGAAGTTCAGCTTGCGCCAGGCCATCACTAAGAAAGATAAGTTAAACCTAGAATTGAACATGTTAAGGTTGTAATGAACACGGAAGCATCCTCTTGGGAGTTGGTTCCATAAAGTTTGGTGCATAATTATCAGGCGTTTTTTGTTTTGAATTTTTTTTTTTTTTTTTTTTTTTTTTTATCATGAAAAAAAACAAAAAAAACCTCAAAAATAACATTTTCAAGTGATTCCGGGGCGTATCATTATCGACACTTATTTTTGTAACCTGAAAACTTTTATTAAAAAAAGCAAACAAAACAATTTTTATTAATAAATACATCGCTTACAAAAACGCCTGATAATTATGCACCAACCCAATAGGATTTCGCGAATCTGTTCAAATGGAACTTAGATCTCACCAGTGGAATGAGGGTGGTTCATTACAATGGGTGTGGCAAGGCAGGTCTTAGCCGTGACGGTTAGAACTGGTGGAACTAAGGAATGTAATTCGTCTGAACACGTTCCATGTAAATAGAGTAGAGAGAGGCTTGCGACCTTTCGTCCGTGGGGAACAGTGTCTGGGGTGGGCTTAAATCTCAGTAGGCAATCCAGGCACGGGACCTCCCTGATAGAAAACCCGTTCATCGCAATAGACGAAAGTTCAGGGTCCGCTCTGTGACTATGAAGTATCCCTAACAAAAGTAATCTGCACATCTGTTGTTCGAACATCTTTAAGTGTGGGGGGATACAAGATAGTGCCTCTGACATATGGGTTGACGGGGGGTACTTCAGCCCCCCCCCCAACAACACTTTCTGCTGAAACTGAGAACTAAAAAACTTTGTCTCCTTCGCCTCTGCTACTAATTAAAAAAAATAAATAAATAAACGAAAAACTTTCAACCTTTTTACCGAAGTCCTATATGTGGAAAAAGTCTACCGGTCTCATTCCAGAAAATACGTAAGAGCGCAGTACTAGATTGGTAGCTAGGTCTCATCATTTTACAGTTGAAATAGCTAGATGTAACCGTATGTTCTATGCTAATAGTTTCTTCTGTCGCACTTCTTGCTTGTGGAACTCTCTTCCAGCTTCTTGCTTTCCAGTCGAGTTCGATCTTCAAAAATCTCAATGCTATGCCAATCGTCATCTACTGTCTTAATTCTTGTTCTATTTTCTTTCTCCTTTCGTAGTTATTTTTTTTATTTTTGATATTATCTAACGCGGTAATAACTTCCGTCTTAGTGGCTTTATTGCCTTAATTGGGGGCGAGGTATAATTATTTTTTAAATGAATTTAAAGAAAAAATATGTATTTAAAATCAAAACACAATGTTTGGAGTACAATAATAGATTAAAAAATTATGTGGGGGACCAGATGAAATATATAGAATCAAGAATTTTAAAAACTTAATGTCTGAGTTAACGCCCTACCTTTTATTTTTTGGCGCTATGCTTCCAAGGAAACGGGAAATAGGACAACAACAAAAAAAAAGAAAATAAATACTAAAGTTTTGCAAAATTCGTTGTCCAAACAAGAAGCGGTGATTCGTTTATTTTATTTATTTTTTCTTTTCAAAGGTGGGGTAATATCATGGCTGAGTCTTTTGTCTTGGAAGTACTGAGTGGACATTTGCTTATTATTATTATTTGAAAGTTGCTTAAAAGCATTCAAGAGTAGATACGTGGTGGGTAGATTAAAATCTCTACCACTTAACCATTTTTTTCGCTCTTTCTTTCTCGCATTTCGTATTTGCCTGAATAAAGCTTTCTGAAAATTGTCTGTCTGTAAGACTGATGTAATTGTTTTTAATACTAATGGTTCATATAAATCGAATGATCTTTCCTTTTTCTTTTCTTTTCTTTATTTCATCGACAAAGCTAAGTTTCCTAAAAACCAATAAAAATAAAATAAAAAAAGCTCTAATTTTTTTCTTGATTGTAATTGTGTATTTTGTATAGATTTTTTTTTATCGGATCTAGAACACTCGTCTGAAGAATGTCTAAGAAATATTCATCTAGAGAATTCTTGTCTAATGTGATTCGTATTAATATACAAAGAATGCATGTCAATAAATATTTATAAACCACATATACCATCAGTAATTAATGTTGCTAAGGTGTCTTAAATATTAATCTGTAATATAGTGACTATCAATAAAACTGATTTTTTTTTTTATACATGAATAAAGTGTTAATTTTATATTATAGACCAATACTAGAGTATCTGTTTATTTCTTAAAATACAGCAATTGTGGCACATGGCCGAAGGGTGAAAAAAGGGGAGGGGCTGGTCTTCTTTAGCTGTCCTAGTCCTAATTAATCTGACTTGCGACCTAGTCATTCATTATAATTTACACATTTACCACAAGAATTTATCTATCACCTCCGATCCAACACACACCAAAATACCACTTACTCGCAGAGGAACCTACAAAACACCCCATGACATAAAAATTTGAGACCAATAGTAAAGTATTCCTTAAATAGTTTTCCCTTAGACCAATATTCTTTAGACAAATATTCCTAAATCCTTTTGTTTGTTTCTTTTCATTTATTTATATGATTGTTTTTTTTTTGTTTTTTTGTTTATTTTTTTTTAATTCATTGCAGGTTATTTAAAGCCAGAAAATATTTTTTTTAGATTGTAAGAATTTTTTTTTTTTGTCGAGATAATAATGGTTTAGCGGGACGGGGAGTGGTGGATTCATACCTAACCAAAATTTGATTAACTTAGAATGTGGATATAAAGTTGGGGTCTCAATTCTATATTACACTCAATATATAAACTGATCCCTCATTTTGGGGGCAACAGTGGTTTCTATACATTCATACTCCAGGAAATTTAATAAATCTAAGAAATATGTGCATGTAGCTAATTAGTATTTGATTGAATCATTTTTACGGCTTATCAACCCTTTGCAGTTTATGAAAAGCCAGAAAATATGAAAGACTACGCTCACCAAAGAATGAAGAAATCGCAAAAAAACACCAGGCACAGGATTCACGTTAAATAAACTACACAAATAGTTGAATAGAAAATTTGAAATAAAGTAAGTCTATACTTGTGAGGGTATTCAAAAATTTATGGTTTTCTTTCATAATATTTAAATATATACCCTTTAAATGTTTTGCTAAATG